CTCAACCAGCATCAAAACAGCCTTTTACTGCAGAATATATCATTCAAAAGCTTACCTCATGTTCATGACTGCATACTCCCACCAAAATCACCCTATACAAAACAACTTCTCCTCAACGGATTCTTTCCAAAAGAGCCTCATCAAATAGCCACCAAAGGTCAAATCAATCAGCTCCATAACTGATTTCTTTTGATTTGCTTTTGGTAGAGAATCATTCTAAATCCGGTGCAAACAGCCTGAAATAGACTTCTCATAACTTTCCACAAACACCAAAAATAAACTTTGCCCTATTTTTAAATTTTATACAACCCAACTCCAAAATATGCCAACTAATAAAATCCTAACAGAGCTAATGTAGTGAGGGCCAGCCATATCTCAGGGATTCCGCAGCAAACCTTGATCTTCATTCATTGCCCGTACTGCATTCAAAGCGTCACTCTCAACTATGGAGACTCTAAGGCCCATATCCTTAGTAAAGCACAATCCCTCTAGAATGGCTGCACACTCTGCAGTAGTCTTGTCCAGTGAGCACCACTCATCTTTAAAAACTTTCTCCCGAAAGCAATACGTTCTTATCCCGAAGAACCACTTTTTGTTTTTTTTTTTTTTTTTTCACTCAACCAGCATCAAAATAGCCTTTTACTGCAGAATATATCATTCAAAAGCTCACCTCACGTTCATGGCTGCATACTAATTATATACAACCCAAATTGGTCAACAAACCCATCTATTCTCCCACCAAAATCACCCTAAACAAAACAACTTCTCCTCAACGGATTCTTTCCAAAAAAGCCTCATCAAATAGCCACCAAAGGTCAAATCAATCAGCTCCTTAACTGATTTCCTTTGATTTGCTTTTGGTAGAGAATCATTCTAAATCCGGTACAAACAGCCTGAAATAGATTTCTCATAACTGTCCACAAACACCAAAAATAAACTTGACCCTATTTTTAAATTTTATACAACCCAACTCCAAAATATGCCAACTAATAAAATCCTAACAGAGCTAATGTATGGGCAGCCATATTATTCTCAGGGATTCCGCAGCAAACCTTGATCTTCATTCATTGCCCGTACTGCATTCAAAGCGTCACTCTCAACTATGGAGACTCTAAGGCCCATATCCTTAGTAAAGCACAATCCCTCTAGAATGGCCACACACTCTGCAGTGGTATTGTCCAGCGAGCACCACTCGTCTTTAAAAACTTTCTCCCGAAAGCAATACGTTCTTATCCCGAAGAACCACCTTTTTTTTTCACTCAACCAGCATCAAAATAGCCTTTTACTGCAAAATATATCATTCAAAAGCTCACCTCACGTTCATGGCTGCATACTAATTATATACAACCCAAATTCGTCAACAGACCCATCTATTCTCCCACCAAAATCACCCTAAACAAAACAACTTCTCCTCAACGGATTCTTTCCAAAAGAGCCTCATCAAATAGCCACCAAAAGTCAAACCAATCAGCTCCATAACTGATTTCCTATGATTTGCTTTTGGTAGAGAATCATTCTAAATCCGGTACAAACAGCCTGAAATAGATTTCTCATAACTGTCCACAAACACCAAAAATAAACTTGACCCTATTTTTAAATTTTATACAACCCAACTCCAAAATATGCCAACTAATAAAATCCTAACAGAGCTAATGTATGGGCAGCCATATTATTCTCAGGGATTCCGCAGCAAACCTTGATCTTCATTCATTGCCCGTACTGCATTCAAAGCGTCACTCTCAACTATGGAGACTCTAAGGCCCATATCCTTAGTAAAGCACAATCCCTCTCGAATGGCCACACACTCTGCAGTGAGTGGAGAGAGAGAACCAGATGTTTGGGCAAGTAACAAGGATGACTCTACTATGTTGTCTATCTTGGAACAACACCTGCAGAGCACTTTTCCATCCTGAATCTCTCCAGAACTTTATTAATGTAAGCTTCCTGAGACAAATGATTTTTGAAATCTCTTATATTGATTTTTAAAACCTCATAAAATTCTCATAAAATTCTAAAGAGAAAATATGAGAATAAAAGCAAGAGAAAAATGAGTATCTAAACTTAGACTAAAAATCAATAACTTAACACACTTAATAAAACCCCTATTTATAGAATTGGTGATCATAAATTAAGTAAATAGCATATTTTAAAATTATTTAAAATAAATAATAATTTTTCGCGTATATAGTTCATTTATAACTGGTAAAAAAAAAATTTAAATGGTAAAAAAATCTTTTTACCAATTATAAAAATAAAATTTATATGAAAAAAATCTTTTTACTAATTTTAAAATTTATTATTTATTTAATTTAATTTCAAAAAATATGTTATTTACTATGTGGACTCATTTGTATTTGGATGAACTCGTAAAAGAACACGGCCTGGCTCAAGAAAAGGGTTAAATTAAAAGCAGCCCTTGAAAGGCCCCACAGGTTTGCATGAGAAACGTAGTATCCCTTTGTTCAAAAATAGATTACTTTTTCAGCTCTAAATCTTTGATTGCAACATTCCAACGTATTAAAATACTCCACTCTATGACCTTCCACAAGACATTCACAGAAAACAAACTTGGAAGAGCCAATTTACAACCTTAACGAGTCATAAGATTATAAGACTAATTTACAAATAAGAGGTGCAACATCAATTCTAACTTTACTTCTATATATGTGAGAAGCATCAAACCCTTAAAATAACATATATCTCTAAACAAACAAAAAACTAAAAAAGAGTGACAAGCTTATTTGGCAACTCATAGTATTTAGGAAAATCTAGACGAATGCCCCTTTAAGTAAGGGAACATAGAATTTTATACTATTTGTTAAACACTATGGATGCATTTACTTTCCATTTCATGGAAAGGAAAAACTAAGAGTGTTTTTCTTTCGTATTTAATTACATGTTTAACTTACAAAAATAATAGAACTAATGATGGGAGTTTAGCAGGCCCCATACAGTAATAAGAATGTGCAAAGAGAAGTCTTTGTCCTTTGGTGTTGCTTTCCGATAAAGAGAATGAACGCTAAATTTATTTGTATGTTTTTAAAAGACACTAATTGTTTAATTATGCAAAAAGACCACCTAGTACATATATTGATAAGTGCTAAAAATAGTGTCCTAGAAGCATAAGATGTAATATGATATTTATTATTTATTTAATAATAGAGTTTATTCATTATTTTATGGAGGATTGATCTATATGCAGTGACTATATCAAATGGACACTTTACAGTTTAGAAGTAATTTATATCTATAATTTCGAGAGTGCAATTCCAAGTTTATAGTGAAGTAACTATTGAAATTAATAGAATTAATTAATTAATTAAAGTGTTTAATTAATTATTAATTTTATTGGAGCTCGGAATTATAGGTCCATTAGTTCCCGCATCGTCCTAGTAATTCTACAAGACACAAAGGGCAAAATGAGAATTGCAGAATTGCAGAATTCTAAAATTAAACACTCAAAAATAATTAATTATTATTTAAATAATGTGATTATTTAAATTTAAATTTGAACACATCTAGATTTATCCATTTAAACTTATTTGATAAGTTGTTCAATTTAGAATTCAAATTAATTTAAGTTTGACTTAAATTGAAATTTACATTTGAGTCGAAATTGGACTACAGGATAAATGATAATTTTCTCTTCCTTCCCTATCTGTAAATTGGCGCCACACAGGGGTGAGATTACCCTAAGGTGGCTGGCCACACCAAGGATAAGGGTGTGGGAGATTTTATTCTAAATTCAAATAGGAGATAATTAACAAGCTTTATCTTGGAGATAGAGATTGGATTCCTTCTAGAAGTTTGACTTCTACTCTATAAATAAGAGAATTATAGAAAATTGTGAACACAAATTTTTGAAAACAAATTTTGCCCTCATTATTAGAGTGTGGCCGAATTTCTCTATAGAGTGAGAGGAAAAAATTTTCTCCAAAAAATTTCACATCGTGCATGGGTTGGTGTTTGTAGAAATTCGAGCGTTTTTTCTAACCCATTTTGTCTCAGGTGTGCCCACACACACGTCTTCGTAGATTCTAGGATTTGACGTGGAAGGCATTAGTTTTCTAAACACAAAGCTTTGGAGCAAGGATTGTTTGAGGTCAAAGAACTCAAGTTATCATCCTAATCGGCCGTCAGGTATTATTACTAATTGAGTTCTTAATAAATAAATTAATGTAATTAATTTATTCGTGCATAAATTAATATAATTTATAGAGTATCTCAAAGGTTTTGTGAAAATTTTTGTTATACACGATCCGCATTCCCCACGCTTCCGCATCCGAATTCGATTCAGAAACCGGCAAAAAGTTCATATTCCTATGTTTTGTAAATACTAGAAAAGAAATTGGATTATTTCTCAATCATCAAATAGATGAGTAAACACCAAAAAAAATAATAATAATAATTCCCGTTCTTATTACTTTATTTTCTTATATTTACCTTACATATTCTATTCTTTTATAGTTTGGTAAATGCGTCCTACAATTTTTATTCTTACTTTTTCTTTAGATATTGAATTTTTTGTGTAATTTTAGATAGATATTGACTTAAAGGATAGAATTTCAAGAGTCAATATCTAAAAATACATCAAAAAAAAGTTAATATTTAAAACAAATAAAAATAAAAATTGTAGTACGCATTTACCAAACCATAAAGAATAGAATAATACAAAACTAAAGAAATGAGCTCAGGGGCACTTTTTTTAAAGTTTTGTATGATTTATTCCTCAAGACCATGACCATGGTTCGACATGTCTTATTAATTTCTTTGACTTGAAAAATCTCATGAAAAAGAAGCATCCAATCCCAATCAGATATGAAATATGAGATACTCAAAAGTCAAATTTTGGGGTATGGTTGAAATGTTTTTAAAAATCTTGTATAAATGTCATAAAGAGAAAAATTTAGGGGGACCTAATAGAAAAAACGTTAAAAAAAAATTGGTTGGATCAAAATTAAAGACCCCACCTGCCTAAATTGGCTCTGACACTGATAATACTACTCACTAAGAACACGGTCTTTGTGGCAATTGTTATCACAAATATCACAGAGGCTGATGGAATCAGGCACATGATTATCAAATCTGGTAACCCCATTGGAAGCCTGTATGGCCTCTTCTAGGATGGTACTTGAATTCTCAGCCAAACAAAAGATGCAAACTCCATCGACATTTCCAAACTGATCAAGAAGTTTGCTGATAAAATTATAACTGAGAAACTCATGTAGGAGATTACTGGAGCAATTATTGTTCAAACCAAGATCGCCAGAGTGTTAAAAACTTTAACTTGGGAAGAATCCTACATCTGTCATGCCAAGAACTTGGCAGGCTTTACTGTTGGTTTCTAAAACGGTTTTGAACATTTCAAGCAAAAAGAGATTGTGTATAACAAAAATTTTCAACAAAATTTATAAATAATACTCTATAAATTATCTTAATTTACACAAAAAATTAAATAATTAAATTATTTAAAAACCTCTTGAAGCGATTAGGTATGATAACCCACGAAAGCTTCTAGATCCTTAGAAACCTCGAGACTTCCTCGTCCATTCTCCAGTGTTATAATTCCAATGTTACTCCACAATAAATTGGGCTAAACTCTTGCAATTACAAATATTTAATTACTTCTAAGAATGTGAAGTGTCAATTTGATATAGTCATTACATACAGATTAATTTTCTAAAAATAATTCATAATTAGAGATACGTTAAAATCCATTAACCTCTTTAATTATATATTTATTCTTGAGTACCGTTGATTTTCTAATGAGTAATAAATTACTTTTAAGATTGAGTAATGATAAAAAGCTACTCTTTATTTTCTTTCTACAATCAACCCTGATGAGCACTTTGGATATATATTGCGATTAAAGGCATTCCCCACCCCGGACCTTAGCATTTAATTTTTATTTTTTTTAGGTGTAATAATTGTTATTTTAGTACAAATTAAAGGTATTTGAACATATTTATTATGTTCACATATAGTAATATTCTTTTTTAGAAAAATAATGGGATGCAATTATAGTTTCCTCTTATTTTGTCTCTGAATTGTGGAGGCTGTGTTTGGGCAGGGTAGAGGTTTGGGTTCTTTTGTGATGACTTTGTTCCTGGCCGTTGGTTTGTATGATTTTAAATAACTTTTTATTTTGATGATGAATATTTTAAAGAGGAACGTGGGAGGCCAATCATATGAGGAAGGGTCGTGAACATAGAGCAGCACATCGAGGATTAGACACTGAAATTTTAAAAAATAAGCTTGGTAGGTGTGCGTTTGTTAAGTGTTGAATTTGGGCGAGAGAGAGAGAATGAAAACCATTTGATTCCATATCCCCATATCAATGACCAAATTGGTAGGAAAAAAGTGTTCATTACTCAAGTTCAATGAAAATCAACAAGTGCAATATGAAGGATCTTCATTTGGGTGATTCCGCTTTCATTCACTTTGGCTTGTTTGTAATGCAGAAGAGACATCTTATTCTTCAACTAATATAGAAAATACCTTCTTCCTCATTATTATTAACTTATGTATTGTCCATTGCCTTTTTTTTTTTTTTTTCTATGAGAATTTACCGAGTGTTAATTAGATATAGATGAATATTTTGCATCTTAAGCAAAGACGGGAATGCAATATTTAGCACTTTTATCAGAAATCAACAACACATCTTATTGATTTTGAAGCAGATATAACATTAAAGATGATCATTTATTTACATATCATATTATTAAGATCAAATGTACCTTTGTTCATTCCGATTACTTGTTTATTTTTTGCCGAACCACCGATCACCCAAATACTTGTTCTTCCATTTCGATGCTTCTCTCAAGCAGAGCTTCATGTAATCTGACCCCTGAGATCTATGTGTTTCACTTTTGAGCTGCTCACGATTCTTCTTGCATCTCTCCAACTCGGCTTCTAAAGTTGCGATCTTGTTGTCTAGATTTTCACAAATTTTTGTTTCATATCTAATTGCTTCGAAACCAAGAAAAGGGTTCAAAGGAAAACGAGAAGGAGAGCGGACATAATCAAATAAAAATCGACCAATGTTGAAGCCTGTAATCTTTCGAATTCCATCAAGGTAAAAATGTAAGTGTTTAAGATCATCCCTTGTGATATCCTCGACCTTAGTTCTGCACATTCTGTCGAAGACTGTGCATAGTAAAGTAGAGGTGATGCTCTTCATTGCCGATGACAAGCTTTTCTCGCCACGAAGATCGCCATACTTGTGAAGAAATGCTTTCAAAACAGGAGCCAATCTCTTTGGTACCATGTAACCATCAACATCCACCACCTCTTGTCTTAAATACTTGTCTTCTAATAATTTCAATAAACCACCTTCTTCTTCTGGTGTGAAATACCAGAGCTCATTGTCAAAGTTTTGAAAATCGTCATCAGATTTGGCATTAAGCAAGAAGAATTGAACAAGTTTATCAACATCTTCATTCGATCCTTCAAGATTGAAACGAGAATTTAATTGTTGATAATAAAGATATCTGCTTCTTCGGTTATTGCTCATATGATCATCAAAACCGAAGGGATGAATCAGCATCTCCTCTTCTTGTTGAGTAAGCTCATCCATTATGTGTTTTAGGGTCAAATCCATTGATTTTGATTCCATGATGCCCAAATATTGATCCCATCGCTCCTCTCCCAGGGCCCTAAGCACCACTTCCTTATTGTCTCCCTTTATTACCTTCATAATCTGATTTTAATTTGTTCATGTATTAGTGAAAGTATTGACATATAGAGATTCACTAAACAAATTAAATTTAACGGATTACAATCGCTTTGATTATTCTTTTTCTGTAAATAGTTTTTTCAGCAAGTACTATATGATTTTTCCAAAATATATACCGGCCATTTAGAAACTTGAAGAGTTTTACATATGAACTAGAATTCATGTTCTTGGATTGGATCAATAAATTAATTGAATTGTTTGTTATAATGAATTGTTTCTTGCATCGATTTTATTATTTCTCTAAGATCTGAATTATAGTGTTTATTTCAGAATTTTCAGTTCAAAAGGGCTCACTTTATTAAAAAGAAAAATTAAAGCAAAAAAAATGATTATAATAATGTTAAGTTCAAGAAAAATAAATATTAAATAAATAATTATCTATGTCAAGTGCTACTTTCACTAATACATGGACAAAAAATCTGATTCATTTGCATTTGGTATTAGGAAGAAAAAAAAAAGAAAGAATAAATAATAAACTGTTATTTTGTTTATTAAGATTTTTTGCTGATACTATTTGTCTTTCAGAATGTAACTTTTTATGTAGAAAAAGAGATTACTATAATTTGAGTTATTTTCAATCTCATACCTTATATCTTGAGTATATTAAAAAAAAAAAAAAAAAAAAAAAAAAAAAAAAAAAAAAAAACTATATTTTAGAATGAGCAAGAATACCTATCATCTTTTCTTTTATCGATTTTTTAAAAGAATGTGTGGTAAATAAAGAATTTTAATTAATATACTTCCCAGATGCTTTTGTACTAAAATTTGGGATTTTATAATTAAAACTTATTAAAAATATGCAAATGAAAACATATATACTGCAAGCTGGCAAATCCAAAGTTAATATTTAATATAATTTTATTTTTCCTTCATAATATATAAAGTATAAATTATTGCAAGTATGATTGCGTTAAGGTTATTTCAGAAACTTCGAAACATAAACATACCTCCGAAATCAGGCAATGTATATGAGCTGCATATGTGCATTCTTCACAGTAATAAATACGAAAAGATTTATCCCTTTTTTCTTCGCACACATCACAATAATATTCATCTGAACCATCTTCGGTGGCTGAATGATTTGACAAAATCAGAGGGTGCATGTGATACTCATACTTGACGGTTGTTGGTAATGGGCCACATAAAAAATGATAGTTGAAAACACAATTCATGCAACGAAACATGAAAGATTGAGTATGAATAACTTCGTCGGGAACATATTTGACTTGGTTCTTGTAAGAATTTTGACAAGCATCACATTGAAATACACAGGAAGATTTCTCTACTAAGGAAAGGGAATGATCATGACTTTGGCATTTTACCCAAGTTATATCGAGAGAAGCGCATTCTATACCCAAGTTAAAGGTACAGCTTTTTTCAAGACAACTATAAACAAGCCTATTTTTTGTGCAACATGAACGACACAACTGAGGTTTACTGACTTGGAGTATGAGAGAGTTGTGTGGGTGGAAGGGATGCTGAATTTTACGCGGAAACTCAGCACATGATTTATGGAGAAAATTCTCACATGCTGGGGATGTGCAAGAATAGGTTGAACCTGATGACCAGCCTAATTGACATGCAAAGCATTTAGCTCTTATTTTCTTACAATCAAGATGCTCCGTCAGGATCATAGGCTTCTGATGACAGACGACGTCGACGTCGGACGCTATGGTCAGCAGCGGGATCATAGCACATGATCTATGCATGTAGACATTAGAGCACTGCTGATCATCACATCCGTAAACATGTCCGTCATCATTATTGAAGGGCTCCTCACAATAATAGCAGCAACTGTTGTTGTTTAATGATCTCTTTGCAAGCTTGAGAGGGTGGAGAGGATGCAATGAGTGGTTCATGTATTCCAGCCACTCAGCACATTTTTCGTGGATGCGATATTGGCCGCATATACCGCAGAAGTATCTGTTTTTATCATTTGGGATTAAACGATTGCAGATACCGCAGGGCGCTTCTAGTCCGCCGTCCAACAACTGCAGATCATGCTGGTGACTGAAGTGTCGAATTTTCTTCAACATTTCTCTCTCAAAGGAATAAACTGAAAAGAAATAAGGTAATATCGCTTATATCTAGTACTTCTTACAGGGACTCCTATTTATACATATATGTGCTCAAAAAAACCTCTGTCAATGCTACCACGAACAAGTTTCTCTATAAATATTGGCATTAACTAAATGCAATAAAATAACTATGACATCTCTATAATAATGTATTCTTTTAAAGGAATAAATGTTGTATAATATATATATATATGTAAAAGTATACGTTATAATATTCTATATTAGAGATGGAACTAAAAATAGGAAATGTGATAAACTAAAAGAAATGGCCGGGCTTTTTTAAACTTTATTTTAAGTCAATAATCATAGATCATTATTTCGTACTCGTTTTTGCCGTGTGTGGATAGATTAATAATTGTCACACAAGCGTTAATAATAAAGAAAATGTGGCCAGCAGGTTCAGTCTAATATTGGAAAAAAGAAAAGTACAGTTCTCATTTAATTTTGTACCTTTTTTTCCTTAATTAGTCCTTTTTTGTTTTGTTTTTGTTTTTTTTTTTTTTTTTTTTTTTTTATTTTTACAGATTTTTGTACGTATTGCTATTTGTTCGACCTCACATGCAAAGAAATAATATCCCAAGTGTGGATTTGAATTCAAACCTATTTGTTAAAGTGTTTTCTCTCATATAAAGTACAATCCTCATTTATTTTATAACTTTCTTGTTTGGTTTTATAACTTATTCTTGTCATGATTGCCAATTATAGGATAATTTTTTTGCTTTGCAATATTATCACTCTCTTTTTCTTATCTATTTCGTAAGGAAAGTATAGTTCTCATTCTATTTTCTTCTTTTTTTTCATTTGTCTTTTTTTTTTTTTTTTTTTTTTTCTAATCTCTTTAATTAGAGTGTAAACAAGCGAATGTATATTTTGCTATTTGTTCTGCGTCATGCGTAATAGAATAGTAATTTAGGTGTGGGTCTAAGTTCAAACCATTTTGCAATAAATATTTTCTCTCACAAAAGTTTAAAATTTTATTCAAACTTAAGAAGAAAAGTATATTGATCTCAGATCTCTAACTTTCTTCTTTGGTATCTTAAGTATAACTTATTCTTGTAATGATTGCAAATTATAGGATAATTTGCTTTGCAATATTATTTCTCTCCTTTTCTTTTCTATATTTTAAGGATTTTTTCATTTTTCTTTTCATTTACCTTAGTTGAAAAGTTTAGGATTTCCCATTACTATTATTTTAGTTCTTTTTTTTTTCTTTGAAAAGAAAAAATTATAGTCCTCATTCTTTTTCTACCTTTTTTGTATTTCTTAAATAGTTTTTTTTTTACTAATCTTTTTAATTATAGTGTAAACAAATTGATGAACGTTTTTTTATTTGTTCTACCTCATGTACAAACGAATATTAATATATGTGGGCCAAAGTTCAAATCTTTTGGTTTTCTCTGAAAAAAAAAATTAATGTTTTGTTTAAACTTAAGAAGAAAATTAGGAAACTTTAAACTTAAGAAGAAAATTAGAAAACTTTAAACTTAAGAAGAAAAGTAAAGTTCTTTTTTTTCCTACCTTAAAAAACTTAAAAGGAAAAGTATAGTTCCAATATGTTCTCTAGCTTCTTTTCATTTGTTTCTTAATTATACTATATTTTGGTCATGATTGGCAATTACAGGATAATTTGTTTTGCAATATTATGACTCTCTTCTTCTTGTCTATTTCTTAATGATATCCTCATTTTCTTCCCATTTACCATAATTGAAAAGTCTAGTCTTTCCCATTGCTATTTAATAAGGATTGTATAATTATTTTTTTCTCCCATTGAAAAGAAGAAAAGTGTAGTTCTCATTTTGTTTTCTTTCTTTTTTTTTTTTTTTTGTTGATGTCTTTAAGTAGAGTTTAAACGAATTGGTGTTCGTTTTGCTAGTTGTTTTGCCTCACACACGAATAATAATCTAGGCGTGGGTCTGAGTTCAAACCCATTCATTACAAGATTTTCTCTAAAAAAAATTACTTATTTTTAACTTAAGGAGAAAAGGATAGTTCTCATTTGTTCTCTACCTTACTTCTTTAGTTTCTTAATTATACTATATTCTAGTTGTGATTGGAAATTATAGAGTACATGCAATATTATTTCGCTCTTTTTCATGTTTATTATTTAAGGAAATTCTCAGTTTCTTCTTAATTATCTTATTTAAAATTTTTAGAATTCTCCACTACTACTTAACAAGAAAAGTATAATTCTTTTATTACCCTTGAAAAGAAGGAAAGTATAGTTCTCATTATTTTTCTTCCTTTTTTTGTTTCATGGTTAGACTTTTTTTTATTTTTTATTTTTTTTTTTGTTTTTGCTATCTCTTTATTTAGATTGTAAACAAGTTGCATAGGTTTTGCTATTTGCTCTATCACATGGGCAAAAGAATAGTAATCTATGTGTGGGTCTAAGTTCAAACATTTTTTTACAAGGTTTTTTTTCACAAAATTTAAAGTTTTATTTAAACTTAAAAAAAAGTATTCTTCATTTCTACCTTTAAAAACTTTAAAAGAAAAGTATAGTTCTCATTTGCTCTCTACCTTCCTTCCCTTGTTTCTTAATTATACAATATTGTAGACGTGTTTAGCAATTATATGATAATTTGCTTTGCAATGTTATTCCTCTCTTTTTCTTGTCTATTTTATAAAAGAATTTTGATTCTTCCAAATTACTTTAGTTTTGAAGTCTTGGATTCCCCACGGCTACTTAACCTGGAATGTAGAATTCTTTTTTTTTTTTTTTTACTCACTTTGAAATGAAGGAAAGTATAGTTTTCATTTTTTTATTCTCATTCTTTTTTTAACCTTTTTTTAGAGTTTTTTGCTAATCTTTTTAATTATTGTGTAAGAAATTGATACATATTTTGTTATTCATTCTGCCTCACGTGTAAAGGAATAGTATTCTAGTTGCGGGTTTGAGTTCAATTTCTTTGTTACAGGATTTCTCTCACAAAAAATTGAAACTTTGGTTAAAATTAAGAAGAAAAGTATAGATCTTATTTGTTCTAAATCTTCTTCTTTGATTTCTTAATTATGACTCATTATGGTAGTGACTAGTAATTATAGGATAATTTTGCTTTGTAATATTATTCCTCTCTTTTTCTTGTGTGTTCCTTAAGTATATTCTTAGTTTCTTTCAATTATATCATATTTAACAAATTTAGGATTTTCCACTATTACTTAACAAGAAAAGTATAATTAATTTGTTTTCCTTTGAAAAGAAGGAAAGTATAGTTCTCATTCTATTTTCTACTTTTTTTTTGTTTCTTAATTATAATTTTTTTTATATGCAAGTATAAATGTTTTATATAATATCTATATATATATATATACACGTAAAAGTATACATTATATTATTCTATATTAGAGATGGAACTAAAAATAGGAAATGTGATCAACTAAAAGAAATGGCGGGGTTTTTAAAACTTTATTTTAATTCAATGATAAGTGCAAAAATATGCACTTTTTCGTGTACATAATTTTCAAATAAATTAAGTTTTACTTGAATATTTTCATCGAATTAATTTAAAATATTTTAGTTTGGAAGTATTTAATTTTGATTTGATTTCATTTGTTTTGAAGGAAAAATGATTGGGCCAAATTTAACAAGTGAGAAACAAAAGTTGGGCCTAAGAGAAATCAGCCCATCTCCAGTTTCTTTTGCAAGTCCACACTTGCACGTGCATTCCAGGACCAATTTGGCCACGCGTGTCGCAAAAGTCAGTTTCAAAACACAGGAAAACAACACAGTAGGGCCTCAAAAGCAAGCAAATGATTTAAAGCCCAAGGTGTGCACCAGGCGCCAGTACAATGTGTGGGCTTAATTCTTTTCAGCCCAACTTCATCTCTCTGGCAACTTAAGCACGTGCAAAAGCCAACCTAAAGAATCCAGCTACTGTGCAAAGTTTTCCAGATTCTTCTCTCTCAACGCGACAAGTGTCCCACTCTTCTTGGGATTGCTTTTTCAGGAGGTGCTATTATTTGCCGTTGTCCAACTCTTTCAATTCTCAGCCTTTATTCACGAAATTAAGGGGTTATTTTTTTACATATTTTTGAGTTACAGTGATTTAAGTGATAATTTTAAGTTGAATTTGAGTTATAATTTAAGTTAAAGTTGTAACTTGAGTTTGTGTTTAGATGTGCACATTTGAGTTATGATTTGAATTGAGAATCTTTTTGAGTTTGTGTTTGAGTGAGTCAAAACTTTAATTTGTATTTAGATAATATTTTAATAAAAACTCAATGGTGATGAAAAATTTTAATAGGGTATATGAGGGGTTTTATTCGTCTTTTCGTTGCGAATGCATAGAAAAAAATCATCTCAATCAGAATTAAAAAGAAAAAGTTATTGTATTTTTAAAAATAGAAAAAATATTGTTCATTAACTTGAGTTTGAGTTTATAAACTCGAGTTGAAAAGAAAACTTGAACACGAGTTTAAACTCAAATTTTACAAAAAAAAAAAAAAAAAAAAAAAAAAA